TCCAGAGGCTGGAGGCCTATGGGTTCGCCGACTTCGGAGCGGCGCACCTTCTGCCCATGAGTGAAAAAGCTTCCCCACCTCTTGTAGCTCTCTTCCCAGACCCCCGACGTCATGATTTTTTCTTGACGCGACCCCCAGAGGTCCGGACCCATTCCCCAGGACCGATTTTTCATCCTGAGTCGTTTTTTGACGGTCCTGAGGGCCGGTAAGGGCCCCCCAGATGCCGAAAATAGCGAAAACCTCCCGTCGTGATTTTTTCATGACTCGAGGGGGTCTGGGTTGGAGCCTCCTCTGACGCTCTTCCGGCCTCTCCAGGCGCGTGGGCACATCTTCGAGCCATCCCGAGCCGCCCCGCAGGCCTCTCGGAGCCACCCTTGGCTCGTCCGGCCGCCCATCGGGCGCCCTCTCGGCCCGCCCGGGGCGCGCCAAGGGGGGCCCCAGGAGAGCATTTCGTGAGGCCCCAGAGCTATAGCTCCCGATGCTCCTCTGAGCCTGCCAGTCCTCCTCGGTGGCGCCCCCCGTTGTCAGCAATTCTCGGTGCCCTTCTGGGCCGTCGTCTCTTGGGGCTCTCTCGGCGCACTCTCGGCGAGCTCGGGGTGGCTCTGCGGAGCCGACCTCAGGAGGGGCCCCGAGAGGCCAACAGAACCACCTCTGGAGACCCCCACGACACCCCCAAGAGGTCTCACAAGGCTACCCCTAGGTCGGGCGTGTCCCCCTACAGGAGGATCTGGGACGAAAAACTCAAAATCGAAAAGATACGTCGAACGTGTCGAGGATAGTCAAACAAAAGTCCTCCCCAAATTAGATGTGTTGCTGCCCGCGGAGGCCCCAGAAGGGGCCGGCACGAGGCCCCCCCGAGGAGCCTTCCGAGATACTCCGAGGAGCCTCCCCGGAGCGCCCGCTGCTCCACGACCCACTCTGGCCGAAGGCCCTCCTGCTCCCCCCAAAACTATAAAAAGAAGAATAAGAATAATAATAATAATAATAATAATAAGAAGAATAATAAGAATAATAATAATGACCATAATCGTAATAATAATACTAATAATAACAATACTAATAATAATAATACTCAGCATAATAATAATACGAATACAAATTATAATGATAATACTACTAATAATAAGAATAATGATAAGAATAATAATAGTAGTAATAATAATAATAAGAAGAAGAATACTAAACATTATACATAGTATTATTCATAGTATTATTATAACTGTTTGATATTGTTTTCTCCTGCCCCCCCCCAAGACAAGCCCTCTCCCCGCGGACCCCGCCCGAGAGAAGCCGAGGCCGAGACCCGCAGCGCTGGGTCGGGCATATGTCCCCCTGCAGGCAGAGTTCGGCAGGCGCATGCACAAGCACCGACGGATGTTCACAGACATACAGGCCTCGGAAAAAATCAGCGAACACTCATGCCACATTCATCTGTGAACGCCTCCTCCTGCCCCCAGTGTTCAAAGTTGGCGGTGGGTCTGATGAGTTGCACCTCGACCGCAGTCTCCCCCCCCCGTGCCAACTTTGAATTTTGGGGGCAGGGGGGGTGTTCACTAATTGTTTCCCTCTACCGTATCACAAAAAAAGGGCTCGAGCATGGTCCCCAGGCTATGTTTCGCTGGTTCTAAGACAGTCCCCTGCAGGGGGACGCGCACGACTGGACCGCAGCTCCCTTCTCTCGCGGAGTCCCCCTCTGTCGTCGACGTCGGGGTGGCCGGTGCCGATATGCCTGCGAGCATTGCGGGGCCTTCTTCTCGGGCAAGTCCTGGACGCTCGCGAGCCCCCTCGTGACATCATAGCATACTTAAGTCGGGCGTGTCCCCATACAGGGGGATCTCGGGCGAAGAAAGATCAAAGCATACCCTAAAAATGCTCAAAAATGGTCCAACACTTGTCCCCTGACTATTTGTTGACCATTTTTGAATATTCTCCCCGTAGAGGGACAGGCCCGACTTGATATCATACCCGCGTCGCGCCCTCAGCTGTTTGGGCTCCCCTTGCCCGCCTTCACTGCCAAGCCTCCGACCCCGCGCTCCCAGAGGAAGGGGCGGCGGGGTCTGCCCCCCTCGGGGGCGCTCTCGAGGGGGGGGGGGCGACAGAGCGCAGGGCCGAGCATCGGCCCCCGCGGCTGGTTCTCCTGGCGTTCGGTCGGGCATGTCCCCCTACAGGCAGATTCTGGAGGGAAGATCAAGCAGACCACACACACACACACAACACACACACACACACACAAAAACACACACACACACACACAACACACACAACACACACAACACACACACACAACACACACACAAAAACACACACAACACACACAACACACACACAACAAAAACAAATAAACAAATGACAAACAAATGCTCAACACGTCGTTCCCAGACTGCTTTTTCTGCTGTCTTTTGAGCCCTCCTCCTGTAGAGGGACGCGCCCGACCTCCCCCGCGTGGCGCCCGAGAGGCGCGCCCCGTGCCTCGAGGCACGGGCCCGACGCTCCACGGCGCGGAGCTCTCATCCTGGCCCCCCCCACCTTATGTTGCCCCCTCCTCGCCCCGCCTCGCCTCCCGCCGCCGGCCCTGGTGAGAAGGCAGGGCTGTAGCACAGCAACTCGCAGGGGATCTTGACGGTAGAGCGTCGGTCGCCCGAGTGGGTGCTCGGACGTTGTGCCCCCTTGTGCGGATGTCCTTGTCCCTGTCCCGCCTCGCCTGGCCCTCGCCCTCCCTCCTCGTGCAGGGGCCAGGGCTTATGTTGCTCCCATCGTACTCAAGGACCACACATCCCAGAGATAAGTTCGAGCACCCGGAAAAAGTGTCGAAGGGGTGTCGAAAGAGTGTCGAAAGGGTATCGAAACCGTGTCGGGCGAGTGTCTCCCAGGGTCCGACACGTGAAAACCCTTGAGAGTTGGGCTACTTTTCTGGTGCTCGAAAAATTATTTCTGGTGATCAAGGCTAAAACAGGTTGGAACATCATAACCCCCACCTCCCTCGGGCGTTGGCAGAACTGGGTTTAGTGGGACCTGGTTTTAGGTCGGGCGTGTCCCCCTACAGGCGGGTTTTGGACGACAAATTGAAGATAAACAAAAGAATGCCCCAACAATACACAAAAACATTCAACACATAATCACCCGACTATTTTTTACTAGTTTTGAATTTTCCCCCTGTAGAGGGACAGGCCCGATTTAAACCTGGCTCAGCGATGTGCACTGGAGGACGGCCCCCCCCCCCCGCCCCGTTCAACTGATCGCCGCCCGAACAAGCACCAGCCATACGGCAGACCTGGTTTCTAATGATTCTGGCCAGCCTAGGGGCTCCGGGGCCCTGCTACTAACCGGGTCCCCTTGCCTGGGGGTCGGGCTATACAGGGGAACAAAAAGTGGCATAAACGTAAAAACCCTGAGGTCCGCGCGGATTTCTCGGATCGGCGCTGGACCCCCCTCCCTGGCGCGCGGAGCGCGCCAGGGACGGCGCCGGAGGCGCCGCCAGGGGGGTCCAGCGCCGATCCGAGAAATCCGCGCGGACCTCCGAGTTTTTACTATGTTTATGCCACTTTCTGTGCCCCTACTATATAGGCTATGCCCGACTCGTCATCCTGGCCCCCCACCCCCCCACAGGCAGCACACGGCGGCACGGGCGGGGGGAGGACAGCCGCAGCGGCGGCGGAGCGCGCCGCGGCGGGAGGCGGCGGCGGGCCCTCGGGCGCGCTCTCGGGCGCGCGCCCCCCCGCCCTGCCGGCAGGCCGCCTCGTCCCCGCGGCCCTCCAGCCCTCCCAGGAGGGGAGAACAGGGGCTCCCCTCCCATCGCGAGGGGAGGAGGGGGGGCGGAGGGCAACGGAGGAGGGGGAGGAGGGGGGAGGGGAGGAGGAGGGCCAGGGAGGGGCAGGAGGGGGGGAGGCGAGGGGGGAGGACAGGGAGAGGGCAGGGAGGCAGCTTTACATGGAGGTCGGAGGAGAGGCTCGGAGGAGGGAGGGGCGGGATGGCGCGGGGGTGGGGGGAGAGAGGGGGGAAGGCCTGGGAGGCGAGGAGCAGGAGGAGGAGGAGGAGGAGGAGGAGGAGGAGGAGGAGGAGGCGAGGAGGAGGAGAAGAGGGGAGGGCCGGCGAGAAACGGGTGGGGCGGAGAGGGGCGTCCAGGAGGGGGGGTCGCAAAGCATGCACGGCCCGAGGCATGTGCGCGGCCGGAGAGGTCAGGGAACGCACTGATGTAGGACGAGGGCCCCTTGGGAACAGGGGAGATTTCGAGGCCCCCGTGACGGCATGGTATCCCCAGACCCCCTCGAGTCAGGAAAAATCATTGCGGGAAGTTCTTCGCCATTTTCGGCCCCTGGGGGCCCTTACCGGGCCTGTGGACCGTCCGAAAACGTCTCGGGATGAAAAAGCGGTCTCGGGGAATAGGTCGAGACCTGGGGGGTCGACGCAATGAAAAAATCATGACGTCAGGGGTCTGGGGTCCCCCTCCCCCAGTCCCCATCCGCCCCCTCGGCCGCCCCCGAAGAGTCCCAGCATGCGGGATGCTGGAGCACCTGTGCACCACGCGCCCTCGGCGAGATCCTCTGCCTCTGGGCCCGCAGAGCAGCGTGGTGTGTACATGGACGCGCCACCCCAATCCATCAGGAGGAGCACATACGCAGAACACGAGAAAACGCCATAACATAAACTGCTGGCGCTCCGCGCGGATTTCTTGGATCTGCGCTGGACCCACCCCCTCTGGCGCGCGGAGCGCGCCAGGGGCGGCGCCGCCAGGGGGGCCCATGGCGCCGATCCAAGAAATCCGCGCGGAGCGCCCAAAGTCTATGCTCAGGCCGCTGTTTCTTCTCCGAGGCGTGGCGTGTGCACATGGAACGCGCCAGCCCAGTCCACCAGGAGGAGCATTCGCGAGCTCGCACCCGCTCGACCTCTCCTTGCAGGCGCCTGCCTTCGCAGGGCGCGCGCACGCCTGCTGCCCACGCCCTCCCTCCCACCGAAGGGGGCGCGGGGCACGCTGCGCTGCGCTCGCCTCCCCCCCCTCGCGC